AGGTAGGTCTCTGGATTGGGTAAGTCGCCCCTCTCCCTCCCACTGGCGATAGGCAGGGTCACTAGTGTCTGAGGAACTATGCAAGGGGACATGGCAGAACACCTGGCCCCTCCCCCGTGCATCTGGAAGACCCGCCAAGGGGCTGGAGAGATGGCTCGCTGGTTAAGAGCACTGGCTGCTCTGCAGAGGACTCAGGTTTGATTCCCAGCACCCACGTGGTGGCTGACAACCATCATCACTGTAGTTCAGAGGATTCGATGCTCTCCTGATCTCCATGGGCATTGATGACATGGGTGCACTTATGTACATGCAGGCTATGCACACATACACCTAAAATAAAATAAAAAAAGAATTGTTGCCTGAGCTCTCTCCAATATGCCCATGTGCATACATACAGACTGCAGTGTACGTGCTCATGCATACATGCACACATATACGCATGTGGCACACACAGACACTAAGCAGAGAAGCACAGCAAAGTGTCCTAGTTAGCTTTAACTGTGAACTTGACACAGCCTAGAGTCATCGGGAGAGGGAGTTCTGAGTGAGGAACTTCCCAGACTGGCCTGGGGGAATGTTAATCATGTTGGGGGTCCAGCCCGCTGTGGGTGGTGCCATTCCCTGGGCAGGTTGTCCTGAGATGTATGAGCTAGCTACCTAAGCTTGAAAGCGAGTCAGCAAGCAGGATTTCTGGATGGTTTCTGCTTCAAGTTCCCACTGGAGTTCCTGCCCTGACTTCCCTAGTGATGAGTTACAACCTGAAAATGTGAGTCAAGGAAACCCTTTCTTCCCCTGAGTTGTTTGGGTCAAAGTGTTTTATCACAGCAACAGAGATGGAACTAGAGCACAGGGATTCCGGGGTCAGGGAAGGTTCTGGGGCTGCTGGATATAGAGTCATCGTTCCCTGGAGTAAGAACTGCAGAGTAGAGGGATTGTTCTAGAATATGCCTCTACAGTGGACATGCACATAGGCAGACACGTGTGCACTCACACTCCCACAGACATGCACAATCATACAAATGCACAAAGATACATAGAGATGTGTACATACATACACATAGACATGCACTGACAGTAACACACAGGCACACATGCGTATGTTGATAAGTAAGCACACATGTACACATGCATGCAAACACACAGAGACATAGATGTAGGTACAAAGCACAAATTGATCTACTCACACACATGCAGAGACTCTAACATGCCCACGTACACACACACAGGCTGCCATACACATGCTCATACACACATGCACACATATATACACACAAGCACATGCAGGTCTCCCACACTCCCTCACAGGCACACACACACATGCAGCACACATGCACGCATGTGTCCCCCACACTCACAGGCACACACACACAGGGAGGTGTAACTGCCACTGGTGCAGGGTCTGTGAGTACGACGGAAAAGAGTGAGGGGAACCCGAGAACGGGGGCTTTGGTCACGGCTGTCTTTGGAGCCCTCCTCGTCCCTGGAGGAAGGAGGAGGAGGAGGAAAAGAGGAAAGGGTGGTGGCCCTGGGAGGTGATGGTTTGAGGACATCAGAAGGGCTGGGCTGACAGACTCATGGGAAGGAGGACTATGGGTGGAGAGAGCCAGCAAGGTCCGGAGTCCTCCTAAGGTAGAGAGAGGACGTAGGAGCAAGGCACTGGAGGGAAAGGGAAGAACTCAGCTCAGAGGGGCAGAATGGCGGGGGCCCGTCAGCCAGCCAGGACAGGGTTTTGAGGGGCTAGACACTATGCTTGGAGTCGGAATGTCCGGGAGGGATGGGAAGGGGTTGGCAACTTTGATTTTGGTGGGAAATGGGGCTCTAGGGAACACCTCAGGATCGGGGCTGATCCTGGCTCCTCCGAGGCCAGGAGCACAAGGGGCTCTTGTCACCCTGCTGGCTCCAGGTTCTAGGTGGGGCTTCCCACTCTGATAGCTTTCTCCCTTGGACAAGGGTTCCTCTCAGTCAAAAGCACTCGTGAAAGCTGATTTCCCTGTTTAAGGCCTTCCATTCACTTCCTTCCAAACGCAATGATGAACTCACCCCGGTGGGGGGGGCATTTGTACAGGCAGGGAGGGCGGGATCTGACTTCAGAGCAACCTTGCACAAGGTAAATCATAGTGTCAGCAAGGAGGCCAGGGGCACAGAGCTGACCCGGGGGCCATGCAGCTGCTCCTGTTGATCCCTGGGCTGAGCCTGCTGCTTTCCGTCCTGGGAGCCAAGAAGCCTCTGCTGATTCCTGCCACTGCAGAGGAGGTGACAGCCTTGGGGGTGGTGAGGGTGGGACCCAGGTTTCCAAGGTAGGTCCTTGGACTGGGTAAGAGTCAGAGGTGCAGGTGGACATCAATGGAGTGCCTTTCATGTCCTTGGTGACATCTACCCAGAAAAGGAGTAGACGTTGGGGGTTCTCCAAGGACTGCAGTGTCTGACACCTTCTAGGAGGGTATCTGTAGGCTGAGCAGTGCCCTGGGGAGGCCTCACTGCGTCTCACCCCTTCCTGCCTCCGGGACCTGCTTCCTTCCTCTTTCAGCGGGTGGGTTTTAGATGCACTATTTTCTGTTCATGAGATGGATTATATTCAGAATTTATTTCTGATAAAAGACTCATGCTTGACCAACTGCAAAAAAACCTGTGGATTTTCTAGAATTTTTACTTGAACATACCACAGTGTGTTTTATAACAAGGTTTAAGGCCCTGGAGATGATTGACCATCCTCCCAGGCTCTGGCACTGATGGGTACTGACCTGGTTCTAGTTTCCCTGATCTTTCATGTCCTCATCCTAGAGGTTAAGCTGACCTGGTCCAGCAAGTCTGGGATCGAGACCAGTGTCCAGGCTTCTTCTAGTGACAACTCCAGCTTGTGGGACTGTCCATTTCAAAGCCATGGCCTCCCCATGGTGACAGAGGCAACCATTTCTCTGTCAGGGAGGTGGACAGCTGCGACCTGGTTCTAGTTTCCCTGATCTTTCATGTCCTCATCCTGGAGGTTAAGCTGACCTGGTCCAGCAAGTCTGGGGTCAAGACCAGTGTCCAGGCTTCTTCTAGTGACAACTCCAGCTTGTGGGACTGTCCATTTCAAAGCCATGGCCTCCCCATGGTGACAGAGGCAACCATTTCTCTGTCAGGGAGGTGGACAGCTGCTGGTTCTGCTCCTGCCACCTGGACATGGGGCCCCCAGCTTCCCCTTCTACCTTTTGCACCCCAAACTTCCGGTCTGGATTCTCTAAGTAGCCTCACAAAGAGATAGGGATCAGTCATCTCAAGCCTCATCCATGGCCCTGAGGTCCTGGGACATGGGACAACAGAGGTCAAGGGCACAAGGATCCTAAGAACAAGGAACAAAGCAGGAGCGGGCACTGAGGCTGGTGTGGGGTCATGTCTTCAAATCCCCCTTGACAGGCCCGAGGGGACAGGGCCAACACTCTCAATTGGTTTCTGGAGATGGTCAATGGATACACTACTTAGAGGAGCTTAAACTAGTATGGGAAGGTAGCAGACCCTGGACCCTGGGCCTGGTCACATCCCACCAGGGTGATTGAGGTCATCCAAGGAGTCCACAGCCATCTGCCTATGACTGGTTACTTCTAGAGAGTTCTGTCTGGCCCAGGCTCCGTCTTCCTGTCTCATCTTTCTAAACATAAAAGCAGATCTGGCCCTTCAAAGGACTTTTCTCATCCAGGAGGCTTAGGATGTTGGCCTCTCAAAGTACCTGATCAAAGCCCTTCTTAGGAGTCCCTGCCCCAGCCTGCCTGGCTCTATCTGCTGATGATGGAGAGGAATTGTCCATGACCTGGAATCTTCCTGACCCTCCAGTGTCTGTTCTCACCAGTCTACACTGAGACCCTACCCAAGCCTCCTCCTGCTTCTGCTCCCACTGTAGCTCTGGCCTAGGACCCTTCCCAGCTTCCCCCTGTCCCTGATGCCCTCCTCAGGCATGACTTCTCCCTCTAGCTTTTTGGAAAGTGGTATGTAAGGAGCTGGGCAGGAAACATTCCTATTCCCGCAAAGAAGAAGACCAGCCCACTGCCGCCCTTCACATTTGGTAGGAGCAAGCTCAACATGATGGAGTTCAGGATGAATCTCTGGTGAGTGCCCCCTTCCCAGGCAACCATCGCTGCTTGCTCCCAGAGAAGCCAGCGTGGGCACTGTGCTCATTTCTGTGCAGGGACAGAGCCTTGGGCCCTTCAGAAATTCACTGGATTCTGAGGTCAATGAGGAGTCTGGGGGGAGCGAGAGCAGGCTCAGGACTGTGTCATCTGGGAGATGATATTTGGAGACCCAGGCAGGGCCTGGCCTCCTTGGGGGAATGGTCTGGGCAGGGTGATGTATGTGCACCTGAACTCAGAGTGTGGACTGGTCACCAGCTCTGCTTCTGCCTGGCTTCTTGTTGGTGCTGCCTGGACGTGCAGGGAGGGGTATGGGGTTCATGGTAAACCGTGTCTTGGGGCTATGGCTTACTGTTGTAAGGACTGGCCAGGAAGTCCTTTGTCCACTAATCTGTTAGTCTTCAGAAGGCTTCAGGAAAAACGACCTGTGATGAGTGGGACATTGCTTGGGTCTGTGTTCTTTGTCCTGACTGATCTTGACCAAACTCAGACTCTTCAACATCCTTGTGTACCTACAGTGCCGACCATCTGACGGTGCTTCAGGCAGCCACAGGGGCATCTGAGGGCAGGTCTTCAGGTGTCTCTGGATGGAGAGTTAAATCACCTGCGTTGCATTCTGAGTAACATATTCATGTTACTTCTAGGGCCCTGAGTAGGAACAGACAGGGAAAGGGTGGCTGGTGCCCGAGGGAAAATCGTGCTTGGATTCTATGTTTCAGGAAACGAACTGGATGCATTAAGTTCCAGCAGCCCCTGAATAAGGATGCTAAACCCGGCGTCTTCTATACCTGTAAGCAGCCAGATATAAGTTCTTTCTTTAAGCCGAGGCACAGAAAGAGACTTCAGGGCCACATGATTTGTGTTGCATACAGGGTGGAGACACACCATCTACATCAACTTCCTGCCTGGGAAGAACTTCGCCATCGCCTACTTCAAGGACGAGGGATATGACTACAAGATGATGATGCTCATGGGTGCGTTCTAGAGCTTTCGAGTTCATGCGGGGGGTGGGGTGGGCTGCTGAAGCAGTGCTCACTGATGATCAGCACTGCCCACCTCCCTCTCATTTCTGCCCAGGGAGCCACTCCTGGTGTTCCTGGCCTGTAGATGGGAGAGAGGTTTACAAACTCTTGGCTGTCTCATCCTCAGATATCATGTGACCAATCCCAATACCTGAGGCTCAGGTTCACTCCTGACTCACTATGCTCTTGACCACCGTCTTCCTTCTCAGGGAGCCTTTGGCATAGTAATGCTGTGACAGGAAGTCTGTTTGGGGTCCATTGGCTTTTGGACACTTGGACAATCTTTTGGGACCTGTACTGTTGTCATGGTAGCAGGGGTGGGGTCCTGGCATCCAGAGGGTAGAGACTAGAGCACTGCCTAACACCTGCTAGGTATGGGATGACCTCCATAGAGTACTTACTGGTCTCCAAGCTCAGCAATACCTGACCTCCACCTGCCACCACCATCTGCCCCTGAGAGCTCCATCTCCATCCTGAGCCCCATCTCCATGCTTAGCCCCATCTCCATGCTGAGCCCCATCTCCATGCTGAGCCCCATCTCCATCCTGAGCCCCATCTCCATGCCAAGCCCCATCTCCATGCTGAGCCCCATCTCCATGCTGCGTCCCATCTCCATGCTGAGCCCCATCTCCATGCCGAGTCCCATCTCCATGCTGAGCCCCATCTCCATGCCGAGTCCCATCTCCATCCTGAGTCCCATCTCCATGCTGAGCCCCATCTCCATCCTGAGTCCCATCTCCATGCCGAGTCCCATCTCCATCCTGAGCCCTATCTCCATGCTGAGCCCCATCTTCATCCTGAGTCCCATCTCCATGCCGAGTCCCATCTCCATCCTGAGCCCCATCTCCATCCTGAGTCCCATCTCCATGCCGAGCCCCATCTCCATCCTGAGCCCCATCTCCATGCCGAGTCCCATCTCCATGCTGAGCCCCATCTCCATGCTGAGCTTTGTGGCTCTCAGTTCATGTCCAAACCATGCTGCATTCTCCAGCGCATTCCTAGGATCCGTCCTGACACAGAGTCCCCTGGGGTGCTTTGCTGGCTCTTAAGAGCACAGCATTTGGGATGGAGAGCTGGCTCAGCACTGGCTGCTCTTGAAGAGGACCTGGGTTCGATTCCCAGCATCCACATGGCAGCTAACAACTGCTCTGACTTCACCCCCTTCTGACCTCTGTAGGCATTGCAGGACACGGGTGCACTTACATACATTCAGGCAATACACTCATACACATAAAATAAAAATAAATAAAATATAAAAAAGAGCACAACATTCTCTAGCCAACCTCTCTTCTGCTCCCACTGTGGCACTGGCTAGACTACCCATGCCCCTAGGCTCCTAGGAGGCTCTGAACTTCCAAGGTCTCAGTGATGTGTGTGGGGTCTCCGCCTGGAAGAGTAAGACAGGAACAGAAATACCCAACCTGCTGACTGGCTCCACTTATGACCCCCGACCTCAGAGTCACTTATTATCAACTCACCTGCTGCCCAGACCTTCCCAGGCATTGGGTTACATCTCCCAGCCCTCCTCTTGGCCACTGATTCCAGTTCAGGGCAACAGTCTGCATCAAGGAGTGCCAGTGCAGGGTAGGAACATGGTGTGCAGGGGCCTCGGACTTGACCTGGGGCTGTTGTGTATATTGCCAGGCAGAAGGAGCCTAGTGGGCAGTCTCTACAAGACTAGGGGTCTCTACGGGGAGAGGCTGGGGCCGACGAGGATGCAAGGGAGGCACTGGAGGAGCCTGGATGAAAGATAGGCTCCTGCTCTGGAGGAGCTTGGGGGGGGTGATTCATGTATGGGCCCCTTCCCCCTACAGCTTCTGATCTCCCAATCAACCTCTCAATTGCTCCTCTAGGAGGAGCTGGGATGGGGTGGGTCATGGTGTCTGTGAGCCAAGGCTATCCCTCCTCTGTTTACCAAAGTAGGGGCAGGTGGGAGCCCTTTTCTGTGGAGTCTCAGGAGAAGGACCCCCCAGGTCTATCAACCTTGCAAGAGGCTTATCTGTCTGCTCAGAGGCTTGTGCCGCAACCATGATGTAGACACCATTACTTAAACTTGAAGGCTGGTCTCCTTCTCAGAAGGTTTAGGCTGGGATGCCTTCTCTCTGAGTTCCCCTGGGACTGCAGGCTTCAGTCTCTTAGTGTTCAGGGACCCCTGGAGCGGATGTGAACGAATTGCTCCTCTAGGAGGAGCTGGGATGGGGTGGGTCACGGTGCCTGTGATCCAAGGCTATCCCTCCTCTGTTCACCAAAGTAGGGGCAGGTGGGAGCCCTTTTCTGTGGAGTCTCAGGAGAAGGACCCCCCAGGTCTGTCAACCTTGCAAGAGGCTTATCTGTCTGCTCAGAGACTTGTGCCCCAACCATGATGTAGACACCATTACTTAATCTCGAAGGCTGGTCTCCTTCTCAGAAGGTTTCGGCTGGGATGCCTTCTCTCTGAGTTCCCCTGGAACTGCAGGCTTCAGTCTCTTAGTGTTCAGGGACCCCTGGAGCGGATGTGAACATCCAACCTGGGTGGAGGGTCCCTGGTCCCTCTCCTCACCAACTCATGCACTGTAGGGTCCTACATTCCCATACTCACCCTAACGTCATGTGCCTGCAGGCCGCAGCTTGGAGGCAGAGCCAGAGTCTGCAAGGATCTTTGAAGAGTTTGTCGAGAGCAAAGGGTTGAACAAGACTGAAATCGTTAGCCCTCCCCACCTTGGTATGTGAGGGGTTTTCATTATTTCTTGAACCCACTCACTTGGGACATGCACTTTGGGTGTTTCTTCCCTCTAAAATGGTGACCACATGAACACCCTTCTCTACCCCTGCCTTTCTGGGTCCTCAGATGCCTGTGAGTTACCCAGAGATTCGTAGTGCTTGGAGGGATGCTGCAGAAACCGCCTAGAACCAGGAGCGTGGGACATCCTGCAGGCAGAACTCCTCTGGGAAAGACAGGTGGTGCCATCCTCAGCTCCCAGGCCTCCATGCGACAGTTAATCTCAATGGTCAACTTGGTTGGATCGGAA